AATTCCGCTTGATATTTCCTTATCGCCAATTTTCATCGGTTGGTTCCTCGTCTGACCATACTCAACGCATTATTCATCCAATTAATAGATTGACAGTAGAATAGTGAGTTTAGAGGTTTTGCTTGCAAAAAGGAAAACATGCGTCAGGGAATTAAAGGAGCTTGCATGCATGAGGCTGCAAAAAATGCACGTTTACACTCCTCCTTGAAAGGTCAAATATCCTCGTGAAACATCAATGTCATTGTAGTAATTTCACTACTATTCTTAGTGCATTGTAATAGCATACGATATACATATTCGAATCGTTGCACTCACATTGTTGATCATATCAATTCGTTTCAGATCTCATATCATTTCTGATGTAAACTAAACTTTCACTGATAGAGACATCAAAAATCTTTTTAGCGGTGTTCGTAAAGGTATTTATGACTATTATTAAACAAATGGGTACATTTCTTGATTTGCCAAATGGGGAGAAAATCACTGGCAGGAGACTACGGTATCTTTTCTGATTCGACCTCACATTGTGACAGGAAATATTTACGAGGGGATCGCCCCCGAATTAGAGATGCATTGTAGCCAATTAACAAGCCGGTATATGGTGGAATTATAGCCAAAGGTTACTGTAGATAAAGCTAAGCTTTCTCTAAGGCAAATAAAGCAATATATTACTATGGGTTGAATAGATCAGAATACCGAAATCTCATGTGCTTTATTACAAAAAAATAGAATCCTTCAATACGTCAGAATTAGTCATAAATTACTAATTAAGGAGTTCTCCGCTATTTTTTTCTGATAAAAACAAAATGCACGTTATTCTAAACAAAAAAATTCCCATGGAAAAAAAATTAATTGATTTTATATGAAAAACATTTTTTGAAAAGTTGTTCAAATTGTGCAACTTATCATTTTTTCTTCCTAGTTCCTCGGTGCAAATATCAGTTCTAATTTTCGATAACGACACTCGGAATTTCCGGAAAATTCCAATGATACAAACCCTCAGCCAGCAAAAAAAAGTGGTTCGCAACATCTCAAGAAACGTATTTTTTTGTTGTTTGAAATCGCTATCATCATCATTCAGCCTAGACAACTGTTGTCAGCACGTCGGAAATAGTTTCGGAAATAATTCATTCCGAGCAACGAGCAAAAATCACGTCAGTAGTTTATCAGAAATTCTATCAAATTTAGCAGGTGACTGAAATTCAATTTTCTGGTGTAAAAACGTTTCTTTTTTGGCGTGAATATGGTACCCCTTCCCACTTAACTTCCATTATCGAATTAAGCCGTTCTGAGTTTAATATGGCAAAAACACACACACGCACACTTAATAAATAACATGTAGTAGAGTACACATTATTTGTATGTACACATAAATTGTTGCGAATGTCAATCAGATAGTAGGACCCTATTAGTGATAAGGAAATTTTATACTTTGCTTACTTTTTTATATATAGGATGTTCGGATACAAATATGAAGGGTACTTATGAATGTTTATATGTATATGAATATAAATATTCAGAGATCATTGTGAAATCATGCGCTACATTGTTTATACCATTGTCTCCTGATTGACTAAGTTGATAAAAAAGATTTTTCTTCCTTCCTATGCATCTGTTTAACTTCCGCAACGAAATCATCATTAACATGCCTATTTATAGGAATATATAGTTAATAGATTACCGATCATCTTATTGTTCCATTCTTTTTTCCGATTTTTTTTTTAATATGAATGCCAGTTTTCGATATTAATTTTGGATTTTTAGAGTTTGGAAACGCCAATGAAGACTGGACCTATCCCGGATATCGGGCAAATCAATCTCCTTCAGATCCCGTTTTTAATGGTACGCTATTTTGTGTCTCATTTTGATTCCAGAACGTAACATATCTATCGTGTGGAGCACCAAAAAATTCTTTTTTTGCAATCTGATTTTTGTTCCGTTGATGATAAGGAGTAGAAACCGCGTGGATATGTGTTGTGCATACTATGATAGCAGCAATTGGAACCGAGAAAAATGGTCGTAGAGAATAATTAGCCTGCGACTATGCTAACCATCAATTTAACACATAGAATAAGGTTTCAGGCGCGTTTAGTGAACCAAAGCCCAATCATAATTACGGTAGCGAGCAATGATCAAAAGCCGGATGTTGAAATCCTATAGATTAATTATAAATATGAATATCGATAATCCCAACTAATGGATTGTTCCGTTTTCAAAATCTATATATTCATGTATATACAGATTTAATAGAAATTTGAAAAATTTGAAATGCATTTTATTCAGATTGGGACCACTTTGACGTTTACTTCAGACGTTTTATGATTAGCAATGAACACAGTTAAAATGCAGAAATCAACATTCAAACAAACCACTTTTGGAAAAAGTATATTATTTGTATTCACATTCATGCAGTGACACATTTTCTGCATTATATTGACTCTAGGATCACGGTAACTATTACAATATAAGCGGTTTTATGACGCAAAGTGGCTTAGTAATTAGAATCGTTTTGTATTTTGTCTGAATATAATTGTTTGAATTCGTTTGATATTAGGTTGAAATTCAAGAGCATCAATACCTTAATTGTTGAAAATCAAGGATTTTTGACTTCATATTTTCTCGCAAGAAAACAAACTACTCAAAAATGCCGACAAAAACCAGCAATGCGAAAATTTATTGCCGGTGCTGCTTGCAAAGACTGTTTAAAAAGGCAATCATTTCCTGGTTTCACAGTATTGCGTGTATATATGTTTTTGTTCTCAATTAATTGTATATCTGATGGCATTTTCGAGACCGAATCGCAATTTTACTTCCTCATCTTTCAAGGTTTTGACAAGTATCCGGCCGGTGAATAATTCTGAACCTTAGTGAATAGATGTTGGTTGGATTAATTAGCAAATCCATATATCTGTGTATTTCGAAAGCGCATTTCCTCTAAAAATGTCATATTTTTAAGCAAAAAATATTTGCATTAAGCTTATTAGAGAATTGAAATAGATTAATCATCGATATCGTAGGTTTATGAGGCCAGTGTTTAAATTATGACAAGAAAATAAATTATACTTTATTTATAGAATGAGTAAATACCAAAATAATTATTGTTTACATATATGGGCAAAAGAAAAAAAGTTTGTTTGTAAAAAAATTTTGCTTTTTAAATTTTTTTCCAATATAGATATCAAAAACCAAGACAGGTGAGATTTTCAGCTGTATTCTACTATCAGCTGAAAATTGGATGATTGATATGTAATTTTTTTGTGGAATATAAATCACAAATGAAAAGTGTTCGTCATAAGAAACAAAAAATTTACAAAGACAAGAAAACCATTGAGAATCGAAGAACCAATGTCGTAGTGTTGACATTTGTCCCAAAATAAAAGCTGTGCCCTCTTTGCCACTTTTGCTAATTTTACTTGGGTGCGCAACTAAATTCGTTTTTTTCTTCGGAAAGAGTGCGCGCGCGCTCGCTGCTGGGTTGGGCTGTGGCAAATCACGTTCTTCGCCAACCGACCGTCATCTTATTTACTTTACCTCTGACTGTCGAGCCGACCGTGGCCCCGGGTCGCCGGTTTTTTATACTGCCAATACGAGAGACTTTTTTATTTCATTTTGCGCCAACCTCAATTTTCATCTTCTATTTTGCTGTATCGCGTGTTGCGCGCGCCGCGCGCGCTCGTTTCGCGCGCAATCAACTAGCCGACATTTAAAAGTGTGTAGGACAAAACCCGTTCAAATGGTGCCCCCGTATAAGGAAGTAATTTAGCATTGAAAGCGAGAGATTTTATCAAATTGATTGCAACCCTCCCGTTTTTTTGGTCACCTCAACTTCATTCGTCTTGTTCTTCCGCACCAAAATACCAATAAACACACATTCAAGTATTCATACTACAAACATAATTTCACGGTTCAGATTAGTTGTTGTTTTTTTAGTCTAGAAACCAAATCGTTTTCGGGTCGGGGAGAGGTGGTTTTCATTTTTTTATTTATTTCATTTTCGTCGCCTCTCTCTACTTTCTTCGTTTCTCTTCCTCTCTCAATCTCGCCGGTTCACTTTCGTTCAGTTATCATCAGTGGGTATATTGATCGACCGGGCATGTTTAATAGAGAAATACAGCGGTGTTGACACGTTGAATTTGAATCGAGTTTTTATTCTGCCGTCCTCTTTACCCGAAATGCTTTTTTTTTCTTCACACGCGACCATCCACGGAACAATAGAGAAGTGCGCGTCCTCAATTCAATCTTGATGCAACTAAACATTAATTGCATTTGATTTTTGATTGGGGGAATGAACTCGAGGAAATGTGGAGGAAATAATACATAATAACGCATTCATTATTATTTACATACAAGTAGCATATAAATTATGCATATCATAGAAAATTGCATATCAAGAGCCCAAAAATCGACGCTCCACTTTTCTTCACTTTTCGTATTTTTTCCCATTTTCGGTGATCAAAATTCGGCATGACTCGCCTATTCTATATTCTAGGCACGTTGTCTCTCTGCCAGTTCCAGCGGACCGGTGAGCACTAGCTAGCAGCACTAGCTCTCCTCGCACTCTGAAGAATTTTATGCTCCGTCCTTTTCTTGTGTTGCCCTCCCCTAACCACTCTCTCTTCTCGTTTTTATACGTCTTCAAATCTCTTTCTTTTTTTTCTTGGTTTGGTTCTCGTTTTCTACTTTGTTGCTATTTGTTGATTATTATTTTTCTGGTTCACAATAGATCCCTTCATTGGTCTTGAATTTTTATAATGAGAATAAGAGAGGAAAAGCAGGTGCTCACGGGAAAAGGATGTGCCAGTAAAAAAAAAATACGTGGACATATGTCCACCTTCTCACTATTTTCAATATCTGGTTCGCTGAGAAACATTGCCGAAAATTTAGTTCCTGATTGATAAGAAGCAAAATCACATAGTAGTGATTTTTCTTTTTTTTTCCGTGTTGCATTCTTTATGTGAATAAGTGTGTGTCAATGCCAAACCGCATTGCTTCAACCAAATATGAATGAACTTCAGGAAAGTCCGGCACTGGCTTGTCCTGCGCCACTCATTGCACCCGCGCCCACGCGCGCATCTCCCTGGACCGCAGCACTGGCATCACCGCATCAGCCCACACTGTTTGGGTAAATTTTTGAAACCATAGAAACGGGCTGGAAAGGTCCAAGCAAGAGTGTACGTGTTTCGAAACACTAACCGTGCATTCCAATAATAGGTTTCTAATGCGAAAATGAAAATAATAATTTGATTCAATTCGTTATTAACTCAAAGTTTCAAGCATTTTGGATTATTCTGGAAACAACTTGTTTACACCGGGATTCGAATTAAATTCAGTACATTTGTATATTTTATTTTAATTAGCAATACATATTGCTTTGCCTTTAAAAGCCAGTAACCACTTTTTTTGTTTCGGGGAAAATTTCCTAATTTCATTACCAAATCATTTCGGCTCATAAACGGACTAAAACCCTCATACATATTTAGTGGGTGGAGGAAAAAAAGAAGCATAATACTAAGCCGTAAATGAAAAACATCAAAGCTCACATTTATTGGATATTCTGCGGGGCAATGTCGTAGTTCTATTTATTTATTTATTTTCAATACATTATGTTGACGAGGCCCAATGGGAAAAAACTATAATGAAAACAGAAAGAGAAAGAGAGAAATAAGCGAAAAAAAGTGCATATTGTTTGAAATTGGCACAATTTTGGTTCCAGGCCGTCGACTTTGTCATCGTCACTTCCATCTGCGTTTTCCGTCGTTTCGCCATCAAACAACACACTTTCCGGGTCAACGATCTATAATCAGTTTATGTGCCTACCGAGTTTGCTTGAAAGCATTTCAGCACAGGAATTCATTCGATCTTCTATGAACCCTCCTCCAAAAAAGCCGATTCCTAACGATAACGCGTAAGTCAAAAGCGAGGCTCAAATAAGAATAAAAATTTTCTCCGAAATATTTCAGCAACGTTGATTTGGGATGTTATCGCGTGAAAGATCCCGAAGATTGGGAAAATGATGACGTTGTTGGATGGCTTCTTGATCTCGCCAAATCGCACAATATCCCTTTTGAGGATATCAATATGCATCGGGTATGTTTCGCGAATATTTAATTTCGAAACTCGAGAAAAGATGAAATAGGCCGTATTCGCGAATAAATTATTTAAGATACACAAATTTTGTTTGATGAAAAATGCCAATGCGAACGAAAACATTACATTTTCCAAAATTTGTTTTTTTTTCAGTTTGCCTTATTACGAGGACGTGATTTGCTCAAGATGCCTGAAAATGATTTCGTCGATCGCGATGCGAATTTTGGTCGTTTGATCTTCGAGGAGTTTCGAAAAACGTTGCTCAACTCAGGTGAATTATTGCATTTTGCTTGACGCCAAGGCCGGCTGATTTGATTATTTCGATGACCAGAAAGCGGGGTCGCACAGCAGGTGAAAAGCCCATTCCATTTTTAATGATTTCAGAAGATACGACGCTGGATAAAGCTCTAAACACATTTGCCGATGATGAGGTTCCATCGACAAGCTCGCTCGATTTGGTTCTTCAGCCGATGATCAATACGATTGCGGCGTCGCAATCAACGGCAACACATTTCAATCATATGCAACAGATTAATCAGCTTAGTCAAGCGTTAACAAACGCGCAAGCGTCGTTCAACCAGAATCTACTCGGCCAACCGACCTTGAATCCGTCGCTTGCTTCAAGCTTGGCCGCTGGCTTGACAGCTGGTAAATCTAGATCGCCTTGTCGGAAAAAATAAGGAAGTTGAATATTGTAGGCATTAGCCCGATCAACGTCGGATACATTCATAATGGCTTGAACCCAACCTCGCCGCTTATCAGCACACAAATTCATCAGCCGAAGGTGTCTCCGATCATGAAGTACACACCATCAGGTCCAATTAACGTCGACTATGATGGTATATCCAGTCTTTCTATTTTCCCATCGTTAAGCCAATTATTTGTTCAAGTTTCAGAAGATCGCTCGACATCCAGCAATGACTTGAAGATCAAGAAGAACAAGGATGGAAAGCCGAGAAAGCGTTCGCAACATACCAAGGGAAACAAACTTTGGGAGTTCATTCGGGATGCTCTTAAGGATCCCGTCACCTGCCCGTCTGTTGTTAGGTATTAGGGAATCAATGAGCAATTATATATCAATGCTCTTTTTATTAAAGATGGGAGGACCCGGTTGAAGGTGTGTTCCGAATTGTAGAGTCCGAGAAACTTGCCCGTCTCTGGGGGGATCGCAAGAACAACACTAAAATGACATATGAGAAGCTTAGCCGCGCGATGAGGTTTGATCTCGTCTCTCGGCCAAAAATCAACGTTGAATTTAGGACGTATTATGAGAAGCAGATCCTTGTTCCGGTACCAAAAACCGGATTGTACCCGAAGAAGCTCGTGTATAAATTTGGACCTGGAGCGCATGGATGGGAAGTTAAGCGCGAGATGCGATAAATTCAAAAGTATCTCGTCAATAATTTTTAAAATTATGTTTTACAAACATTAATAATTTTTAGTCGATGATTGTAGCTGTGGAAAAAAATTTGCAAATCGACCAACAAAAATTACAACAACAAACCTCCATTGCGATCTAGTCTATATGCTGAATTTTCCATTGATCTCGCCCCGCCACAATCTCCAAAATTCTCAAAATGAACATCATTTTTCGTTTTTTTTTTGCAACAAAAAATTTTTTTTTCGAAATTTGAAATTTTCTCCCTACTCCACCCCCCCCCTTCCTCCAATTTCCCATTCTGTCGGGTGTCGAATCTTTGTATCAATAGTCGGTCGCCCCCCGATTTGGTGTCATCATTCTTGTTTTCTTCTCCACCAGACAGCTTGTGCAATTGAAGAATCACTGGCCATAAACCCCGTCCAAGTTTTTTTTGTTGTCAACGTGGCTATCCTCCTGCTCTCAATTAATTCTCCAGATTCCTACTACCAATCACAATAATCGAACATGAGCAAGCTTTAACAAATAATTAAAGACCCATTAATTAACTATATATTTATTTATAGGCTCCACGTTGAGTTAGGAGTAGTGGCTTCTCCATGCATACCTTTTAGTAATCACTGTGATTTCACCTATTTAAACTTTTTTGTGACTCTTTCTCTATGTATCTTGAATAATTTTGTGTGTTACTTTTAATCGAAAATAACCAAAAAAAGTTTCAAAACATTTTATGTAGTCTACCAGCCATAATCGGGTGCATTCTGATTAATTGTCCGATGCGTTTTGATGATGAAAACAACCGAATCATTCCGTATTTGTGTACCATATTATTATGATTGGATTTAGACTATATTGATTGTTTCTAACACTACATTTATTGAATGAATATACGCCAAATAACATTGATTCCAAATAATGTTGATGTGAAGGGGACACAAAATCGAGTGATAAAAGAAAAAACCAAATAAATGTACGGGTACAAGAGGAGTTAAGAACCGGAGCCAACAGGCTGAACTACAAGTCATTTAATCAGATAATTGCGAAAATATGAAAAGAACATGGGTTTTGACGATTTTTAAATGCCCGCAGAGTTACTACAAGAAAAAAAAAGTACACACTATCGTTCACAACGTTCAAATAATTCAACTACAATAAAATTAAACAAATTCTAAGTTTCGGGACTTTAAAAGGCAAACTTGGGGCTGAAACTCAATTTTTGGAACGTGAATATTATAAAATAGTTAACAGATAACAAAACATTAATCTAAAAACAAACCAATAGGAGGAAAATTATGCGATTTTTTTGGTGAAATTTTGCGTTTTTCTAAATTTGTTTTTGGTCAAAATATGCATGTGTACAAAATATATAGGTGGACAATTGTAGCAATGTTGAAAATTAAATAATTGGAAAACTCAAAATATCTGATTTAGTAGAAAGTGTTTTCATTTTGCGGCTATGCCGGTGGACAATCGAAACAATATCACTTGCCTTCAAGATAGCGGAAGAAGAAGTACACGGAAACATTTGCTCCAACATAGGTGAAAACGAACATATGCAAGTATGGATGTATATCGGTATATGGATATACGGAAGGAATCAAGTACGGTAGAAAGTAGGGTGGAGCGACGAATAGTATAAGCATCGCAGCGATGAGCAACTGGACGTGAAGTCTAGGCCTCGTCATTGCACTCGAGAATGTAGATTCTTTCGGCTTCGTCAATTTCGTGGGTGATTGTAACTCTGATACGGAGAAATTCCATATCACGGCTCATAGACACAAGATAAACGCAGTGGAGGACGGCAACGATCCACTCAAACGACGCAGAGATTATGTGCATCTCAGTACCCTGGAAAAGCCAATTATTTTTTCAATGAAAATATAAATCCGAAATTTATGTTGCAGGTTTTACGGCATTATACGATTTCTTCAAATTTTGCTCAGTTTTTGATGCCGACAATATTTGTAGTATTATTATTATTTAGAGAATTGTAGTGACAATGGGAAAATAGTTAGGGAGTACAATTAAAATTAAAATAGCAATTATGCATCGTTGGGGGTTTGCGAATTAATATTGACAGATTATTTCCCAAATAAAATGCACTGTTTGGTTTCTATGCTAGCTAACAATTCTCTTATTTTACTGTAAGAAGCTAAAAATTTACCGGCTGGTACAGCTTGCGGTTCCATGGTCTCGGTATCGGATCGTTCGGGTAAACGGCGTGAAATTGGCTGGAGGCGATCACTCCACAGATGATAGCTGAAGAATGAGAATGAAATTACTCGAAGTGCAGTTGTGTCGTGCGTTCCAAGCATCCCCGCCGTGGGGGGTATTTGCATCGGCACCGCCCCAATCCCGCCAGTTGTTTATAATTAATGGGAGGTCAGGTTTTTTTGAGGGAGCCCCTATCCACTTCGCATTCCGCAGCTTTACGTTCGACGTCGGCAAAATATTATTGCGTTTTGTGAGGCGCCAGCAACTAATTGAGTGCTTCACCGTCTTCGTGTGCCACTCGTGATGCGATTACAGCAGCATCGATACGATGTGAGGAACGCCAACGCGAAGTGTATTATTCAAAGGAACCTCATAAATCGTTGATGGGCGTGAGTCGGCCCACACAAAAAATAACAAACTAACCGGCCAAGAACGAGAATGTGGCGATGACGGTGAGAACGAGGCGGAAATAGAAAAGGAACTTAGTACCCATGTTACGAGCGGCAAAGTTGTAGCTAGCAAAGGTCTGAAAACAGATCATTTCCTTAAAATCGACAACCCTCAATTTTACCTGGAATCCCATGTACATGATTCCGAAGAGGAAGGTCATGAAGGCGGCAAACAGATGAAGTCCAGTTAGAGCAGTCTCCTGAAAACGATGTCATAGTCTTATCGAATATGCCTGAATTTTTTACCTGAACATTGGCAATGATGAACATTCCCGTGCAAGCAATAATTCCAGAGATCATCGAAAGATTGTTGGCGCGGATTGTGTTGAGGTGATCATCATGCTCAATCACAAAATACAAGGCAACGATATGATATCTGAAAGAAATTACTGTTGATATGGTCAAGAATCAATCATTGAAATTTACTGTACCTCAAAAGGATGACGGCGAACGATAGCATTGCGGAGATGTTGGTCAGGATGGCGAAAATGCAAGATTGTGGACGACGATCAGCTGCAGATGACAAGTATGGCAGAATCGGATCGACATCGTCATTGATGACCGCCATAATGTAGACAACAACTGAAAAAAATTGGCTCGTATTTTATGGAACAAAAAGTAAATAATACCCAAATTGATTGTGAAAACAATTCCGAAAATTATCGGAATCGGTGCGTAGCGCAACTCTCCGAACATCCTGCAAAAAAAAATATAAAATTAAGTGATAAATTATTAACAATATGCATTATTTTCAAATTTGTATTAAAAAAAGCGCGCAAATAAAAAAAACGGCTATTTGTCATCATATGATGGGCCACGGCGTTGTTTTTTGCGTGTCTTACTATTGAAAAACTGCGATGGAGCAGATTTGCAACACCCTGACGTTTGCTTGCGTGTTTCGCGTTATCTCTTAGTGTGAATCGTTCGCCAACCGTCCAAATTTCAAGGTTATTTCACGAACAATTGACAAAAATCGATTAGTTGCGACGGAAAGATACAATTTGATGAATATCGCCAACCATTTTCGAATGTTTCGCTATTCGAAATTTCAAAAACTGAAGAGTACGAAAAAATCTTGAAAAACATGGACTCTTGGCCAAGTTAGTTGGCAATGATTATTTCATGAATATTTTTCAATTTCTCACAATAATAGTACGTGAGAAAAATGGAAACCATATTCCGAGATTTAGTCAGATATTCTGATAACTGATGATACAATTCCCATGTGTTTAAAATGAGAATTATTGAAACCGCCCCCTCCCCCCCAATTTATATATCATTTGTTTATTTATGATTTTTTGATTGAAAATAGAAGTGTTGGAAAATTCAAACAAAAACTGTGATGCATTGAAAAGTATAAACAGACAAAAAGATTCAACATCACTTGATAAAAGCAAATGTTCCGGTCTTTGATTTCTCGCTTTCTTACTTATAAAGAGAAAGTTGAGATGGGTTGTAATCAATTGCAAATTGATTAATCAGAGTAATCGGAATTTCCAGAACAGGTTCTCATTTTGTGTTTCGTTCAATACCGTAGTTGACATGTATTTTCAATGTATTCCGTCTCATTTGATAAGCAAAATTTGCAAGAACAGAAATGTATACGGTATATTCGAGATAAGAAGTGCTCGATTTCAATACTTGAGCAGTTTCGCTCATTGAACATTTTTTCCTCTGAATTTTCGGGAGAAGTCCAATAAGAGATGCATAGCAATTTTTGCAAACTTCAATTTCACCAAGGTTCACTTTCCAAAGAAAAACATCATTCAATTCAGCATATCATCATTTTTTGCAATCTGCACGATGTTCTGTGCACTTGGCGATTTTTACAGCCCTTTGCATTATTTCGATTTTTGCAAAGAGCCCGATTTTATTTCGAATTTTTCGATTCAAAGAAAAAGGAACAAAGGGAACACAAAATAGACAAAAAATCTTCAAGCTGTAAATATAACCAAGCGACTTCGACTATACAGACAATATCAGAACAAAATAAGTGATATGTAGATGGTTTTTCAGATGAAATAGAGTTGCTCAAACACCACAAAATTTATTTATTGCGTCTCAGGTTTTTCGGTATTCATCCTGCAACAATGAACTAACCGAGCGAACAGGTCGTGAACACCCGATGAGAAAATCGTGAGCACGCTATTCGTTTTCTTTTTCTTCATCTCACGACGCTCCTTCCTTTCATAAGCTTCCATCTTTTTTGCCATCTTGCTATTGCTCTCTTTGAGACGCATATGGTCACGTACGAGTTGCGCCAAACATCGCTTCTTTTCACGTGGAACACCCGGCATTGTGAGGAGTTGTCGGTAGTCGTGAGAAGTGTATTCACGATTCGCCTCTTCTTCGGAGATGATGTCCATGATGCGCGGCCGATGAGGTTTTAGTGTTTCGGTTTTCGGGAACACCTCCACATAGATGTTCTCCTCTTCGCTCATCCTGAAATAATTGCATATGTGTGCTGCTTCTAGACGAGGTGGCACTGATAGGAATTGGATACGGTAAGCAGTTTCACGATCAATCTATTGACTAGCGATAAAGAAAGTCAAAGGAGGAACTTTGAACAGAATGGAACTGCCACAGAAATGATTATCAACGTTGGGTTTTTATGGGAAACCCCCTCAGGAAAAAGGGGGTTGGCCGTCGGTGCCAGTCGGCAGGCGAATGTGGAAAAACGCCTGATATGGGGGGGGGGAGAATCGCCACATCAAAAAATTTGATTAAATCACATTAAACTCGAATTGTTTCAATATGAAATTAGAGATCGTAGCTAGTCATTGTGCTCGAAATTTCAACATAATTAGCTGAATCATATGGGATTTCCAAATCAGGCCATTATTCATAAAGGATTGCACATATCACGTGCCCTCAATCTTCAAGAAATAATAATAAAATCAAATGGAGTTTCAAAGGACCCAAATAGTTGGATGAATTTCTAGTGGCCGAAAAAGTAAACGTTTCCAGAATGAAACGGCCATGCTGATCAAAATTTATACCCAACCATGAGAGAAAAGAGGAAAAAGCGAGGAATCGTTGGGAACGAAGAGGCACGACGACCAAGGCATCGTTTTGCTTGAGTTCAGTATCCATCAACTCGTGACAGCCAAAAAAAAAGCCAACTGAAAGAAGTTCTTTACAAAAGAGAGATCGACTGGAATTGATCAATTTGTTAAATGTTGTGAATTATGAAGGCGATTAATTGAAATTTATGTTGAGTTCTCAAAAGCCGTCATCAGATTTCTCAAGATTTCCTGCTGCAGATTTGCACGCGTTGAAGTATCAAATATGAGAATGCTGACCTCGAGCGTGAGAAGAACAATAGGGTAGCTCATAAATGTTCGAGTTTTTGAAAAAAAAAAGCTGTCAAAAGTCTCAAATTCCTCTGGGAGCATTTGCATATGCTCATAAGCTTAGATTATTCGTCAAGTGCACCATCTTTGTTTTTTTCCCCTGTATGTATGTGTACGTGTGAGTGTATGTGTGCAGATTTTTCCGGTGCACAAGGAACTTATTATTTCGGCTGTAAAGGACGAACGCCTTTTCATCTCAGAGTCGTGACACAAGAAAAAAACGTCAACCCTGGAAAGAAGAAAAAGAAAAAATTGTCTAGAAGAATGAGAAGATGACGATGTCTCAAATTGCACGTATCGTGGTTACGCAAAATAAAACAAATTTGATTTAAATTGGCTTTGTGAAACTTGTTTCCGGAAATTCCCATGGTTTTGTGTTAGAATTTTTATTTCGATAAAAAAAGAGTGCATTGCTCGATAATGTCATAAAAATTGTCAGACCCCTGCCAGGTTCTTATAACGATACAAAATTCCTGTAAATAAACGAGGCCGACAATTCGAAGCGACTTTTAGTGTTCGGAGACCTTTACGGTTCCCAACATCATGAATCGAGAATGCCTTTTCGCGCTCCATTAAGCTCTTATTAATCATTTCAAATGGAGGGTTTCACTATATGACCATACCTATTATCACCAAACAAGTCCGAAAGTTAAATGGGTCGTCAATGGATTGATGTGCGCAGGTATTATAACAAAAACCCTTAACCGTCCTATCATAAAGAGGTCTGCAACCTGTCGTAGAATGAATTCAACTAAAAATGCAGCACAACTGAGCAGACTAATCATTCCAAAGTCGAACTTATACTAATTTCTGTAGAAGCTTTGAAGTGTGAGCTCTCAATTCGAAACCCATAATTTTGCAGTCTCTGGAAAATTGGCAGCTGGAGCTCGATGAATGTTGAATTGAATTGTGAAAGAGACCGCGTGAATCGTTGAGTTTCGCTCACAATTAATGTTTCCATTAAAACCATCTGGTGAGCAACGAGAAGATTTTCTATTCGTTATCATTTGTTTCGATTCGAACTAATAGAAACTGATTGTCTTGGATGTGTAATGTTGGTAAAGATTCTCAATCCATTGAATCCACAAGCTGGGCTCCAAACGGAATTTAAAAAAAGATAGCTGTAAGTTTCAACTCATGTCCCTGCGATGCAATCTAGATAATAAGATTGATCTGGATCAAAATTCAAATCCTAATTTGAACAATGATTCTATTATTTTGCAAAAATTAAAATAAAATTGCAAACAGACGAATTGAAAAGCCTACTATTAAAAGAGCAATGAGCGATGTTGCTTTTTTGGACCAATTTTAGTGATATTCTTTGCCTAAAACAATTTACAGATATCGGAACAAATTCTTGCAGAAAACAAATCGACTGAAACTCTTGTGTGTAGTTTGCCACCGCACGCCACCCATTGAACCTTTGGATAGAAAAAATCAAACGTGGAGGCGATGTTAAACTGTGATCACACTCGGAGGCATTACGAAACGCGAACACCTGGGATCCCTTTTATTTCAAATGGGGTGCATCGAAGATCAATCTGAATCTTGCGTATCACACGGAGCTAATAATAATAATAATAATATTAATGGGAATTTCCGAGAAACGTTGAGGGCTAAAAGAGCAAACTGACTTTTTTCTTTGACCGTGATAAATATGTATACATATATTTGTTTGATTCCATTAGTCAGTTCAAAATTCCATTAATCGGTTCAAAATTTGCTCATAGGATTTATATAAGTGTAAAACATAGAACATTTCTCATTCTGATCACGTAGGAATTGAAACAACTGATAAACACGTGAATTTTATAGAGCAAATATAGTTCTATTATAATCTCTCAAGAAAGAATAATCGATGAAAATGCCCTTTCAAGTTTTTTTTCTTGTCATTGTACTATCAACGACGTTCGGAATGGAATTTTGATTGATCATTTAATTTGAATCACTCATAGTATTATATCATCTTATTGAAGATTTTCGCAAGATTAGCGGGATTCAGGGGACGAATAAACAAATCCAATTAAAAAAATATGCCGGAAATTGAAATGGTCAAACGCGATGGTGTTCGACGAGCGATTGGGTATAATTATAGGCAATTATCGGAATTTCGATTGTGGTGAGCTCTGGCTTTTCATTATGAAAATGTCCAAGAATTCAAGTTCATTTTGGGCTTTCCGTTTCATTAAACACTGTTCGTATTGCATCACGTTACACTCGGCGTGGGTTCAAAAACTTTCGAGAATGCAGACCAATTATTCTTGATTAATTACTTGAGATTATCATTTCAACGCATCGATGCCGCTACGCAAAAAAAAAAAACGATTACGGTGGTGGTTCAAAGATTGAAAAGGAATTGAAATTGAATTTGAAGATTTATAGCCAACATTGATTCTTGAATGAATTTTCTATCGATGAAAAGTCTTCCGTCAACCGGTTCACTGACTAGTTTTCTGCAAAGTAGGTATCATAGTAATTAATTGTTGCAATACAAAACTCGCTGCTCTGTGAATGTAACAAATCTAGAACGTGAAGCTTTTTAGAGGCGTAGATACTGTCACGCATAGTGTGACTCATCTTTAATAACGGTCCCCAAAATATAGGGATGGCTATAATAAATTTCCGCTGGTCTAGTTATTACTGTCACATCGTTTTGTTTACGCTTGCTAAACCTTTTACGGTACGCGATGATCAAAAAACAAAAGAGTTCTATAAAAAGTATTAAATCATTGAAAACAATTTCCGCACGGTTTGTCTTGTATATCATCATATCATTTTCGCAAGACGCTTATATGCCTTCAAAAATCGTTTGGTGAATAATTAAGCATTGTTTGAAAGTGCAACCATCCAATTAACCGCTCACACGTTGGCAGTTGCAGCGTTCATCATCAAATTTTGCTGGACTCAGCATTTGTTATCTACCGTCAGATAATCAATCAAAATTGTTGAGCACTTTGTGCTAGAGCCCAAAAAAAAAGAAAGATAAGCGGCTTTGGCCGAGAGCACAATTAACACTAGCACTGCATTTCGTCGGCATGGCCTGTAAATACTCGGCACGGATCCTTGTGAAAAACAATTTGCTACATTCAAAAAAAATCTCAAAAGTTCTGTGATTAGAAATTGCCGACGTTTTGAAGTACAGTGTGTTACAAAAAAAATCTTATTGAACGAATTGAAAAGACCGTTTGAAAGTTAATGACCGGATTATGTTATCAGCAAGAGGGAACCAGCATTTGTTCTTTTCAAAAAACAGAAATGGAAAACTGTTTGAACGAAGTGTTGAAATACTCATCTGCTCTATATTATTAAAAATATGAATATTATTAAAAAATTGTCGAAGTCTTGTAAAAAAGAAGAGTTGAGGATTTGAATTATCTCGGAATTTGTATAAGAATATAAAGTGCACTCTTCTTTTTTTTTTAATAATTTCTCACTAATAGGCTTCTCGCGCTTTCAGTTGTTAATGTTTATAAGTCAGTATTTCCAATTTAAAGTGTTCTGAAGCTGTTAACCAGTAAAGTATTGATGGTCTGAAATTTTTCAAAAATTCTTGATATTCAAATTTTATCAGAGTTCTTTAATCGCTAAACAATTTTGTAAAAAAATAACATTTTTCCGCTAATTCAATTTTCACGTCATTAATCTGACCGGATATCCATCCTCTTTCAATTTTCCAAATAAATTAAATCTTCAATAAATGTCAAATCCTTCACGACATTACAGGGTGATAGGTTAATATTTAAAAATAAATAGATCAAATAAGTTCATATGATTTTAATTTGCAATAAAGGATAAAGAAAAATAAGTTCGTATTTAAATATTTCAGGGGTTTGAGAAATTGCACATTGGTATGCAGTAATAATATTTTTAGAACTGAGAAGGAAGCTGCAATAAAAAGTATAAGCTGATTAAAATGTGAGTCAGATTAACAGAAAAAAATTGAGATGTGAATAAACCCGTAATTGCTCATAGAAATCGATAGGGGTCTCAAAACGTGTATAAAGATGGCGAAATGTCGGCATTCGCTGACTTCACTACCTTGATAAAAGCCCATTGTGTTGCACCGCGCGGCGAGATCAAATGGGCTCGACAAATGTGTCTAAATTGAGAACTCACAAGTATGCCGACATAATAGAATTTATTACAGCCAATAATACAAATGTAAAGGAGGAATAAAATTTTAAAATTTTATTATTCAATATTCAGTATTTGCTTTGAGATATTTTGGTTTTCAGTGAAACATACATATGTCAAATGCCATGTTGGACTTTGGCGAAAGCTTATTCTGTTATATTACCCAGCAGAAAAAAGTTGTGAGGTGTATAAGCAAAAGTGCATAGCAACACTCAAACACAGGTTTTCTGCAAGTTGAATTTCTAAACAACCTGGAAATTGTGCTGAATGTTTTCTCTGAAAAAGGACATGTTGCAATAATTCAATTTTTTCATCGAGATGAAATTGATCCGGTGAATTTCAGATTTACTGAGTTTTTCATTATTTTCAAATTTCGTTTATTTTCAGCAACCATTAATATTGTTTTTTCAGCATTTCACGTCAATAAGGTCCTCCAGACCGATGCAAAAAACGTGCAGTTCGTGTTTGTCGAGGAAATGTGCATTCCCTTCCATATTCCTTATCGGTCTCTGCTGGTATAATTTTTGCTAAAACAAAGAAATTCAAACGCTGAACTCTTTATCAAACACAGTGTAGCGAGAAAAAATAATATTCCGATCTCACTAATTGCAAGATGAAGCTGAAATTGGAAATTCTGAAAATTTCTATTAAATGCTCCCTCTTCTTTGAAAATTACTCGTTTCGATAAAAAACATTATATAAAAAAGCGCAACACGATTTGTTTTATGGCTTAGCAAGCGTCTTTATTGTTTTATATCATTTTTACACCTTATAAATGATTACGATCCCGAAAAGCAATTTCGTTTTTTTTCAACCTAAGGTTGTTTTATCGCATAGATTTGTCGCCGAAAACTTTATTACACAAATCTAAACATGGATACGAAAATAAGAGATGAGAAGAATCATACCAAATAAATAGATTGTGGTACAAAAACGGAAAAAAAAACAGAAACAAGAAGAAACAAAACATGGCCGATGCATTACAATGAGAATATCAACGATGATCGTTGTGAGTGATAGAGGCGAGATTGTGTTAACAATTCAATTTCATTCATATTTATATATTCCTTTATATATAGATAAAAAAAACGAAATAAGGAGAATTGTATATACCGGCGACTGGACTATATTTATAACAAATAATACATAATTTCGTTGTCAGCATTGTTTGTTGGAAGTTACTTATTGGGATTTTCGCTGAATAATATTTTTTTGACTGATTATGGGAGGGAAAAACGGAAAATAAACATTTCGTTTACATTTTCGGCATCTACTTTCACGTGTACTGTTTCTAGGAGAAATGTTACGACGAAACACAGGAGGACAATGAACAGCGTATTGTTAACTAATATTGAGATCGGTTGAATACAGTACACCCAAGAATAAAAAACGTACGAAAACCTAGGGAATAGTTAATTTCAATTTTATCTACAAGGAATTTTGAAAGTGTTTTTTTAGTCAATTTTTTTTTCGTTTCATAAATGCATATTTTTCGTAATTTTTTTCGAATCAAGTTTGTGCTGAGGGGTAAGATTGGAAGGAGAGTTGAGTGATTTATTGCCTTTAGATACAATATTTATGCGCGCGACATATTTCCAATGGCACCGGAAGCCAAGAGGCGAATGTAAACTTCTTGACGCACTTTTGGGTCTGTTGGCTCCGATGGCAATGAGCTGCACAGAATATCAACAGCGGTGTCACCGTGGAAATCGGCGCGATTCGCGAGCTCCGTGAACACATCATCATCGACCAATGATTTGAGATACTGAAAGCCAAATGTTTAATCTCTTATTTGCAAAAATTGTTTTCAGATTTACTGTCAAATCTAATTATGTCAAATAATACACGTCTAATTTCCAGCTTTCAACAATCTTTTAGAAAAACTAATTGGGTTTTCTTCCAATATGGGGTATTCCCTACGTCATTCACAATCAAGAAAACTAATCGAATAGATTCCCCCATATCCTTTTTTTTCATTCGACTTCATTCATTTTCCATGAATATAAATTCGGTGCCTGGATCCACATTTAGTATGCATTATTAATATATGTCGAATGTTGGATACATTCCCCCACGCAAGTTCATTGCCGAATATAAATGAGTCGTCCTTCTGCTTCGACTTACATCAAGCATATCGACGTCCATGCGATTGACAGCATAGTGAACAATGGTTTTTCCGGTGATGTTTTCCTGAAAAAAAGAAGAACATTCATAAAATTGAATTCGACCCCTCCCCCCTTCTTCTTAGTTGAATATGTTTGCTGTCACAGTAAAACCAATACAAAACGAGGCGAAAAAAAATTGAGCTGCGCAATGCAGTGACAGGTACGCAAACATCTTGACCAACGTGTGGGTGACGTCTTTTTTTTTGTGCTTCGTGTAAATATGTACGTACCGCGATGCTCGGATCGGCTCCAGCGCGCAACAATTGTCCAATGACTTCTCTGGTGTCAAGCGGCTCGCCGCTGTGCTCGTCGACGATTCCGTTCATCCTGACGGCGTGGAGAACCGTGGTCTCACCTCGACCATTCATATCGTTCAATCGGATTCCACGGCTATTGATAAGAGTCTGAAATAATGAATAGGTGACAATATTTCTGATCAGAGTCAATACATTGAGCATTTCCATGTTTCCGCGAATGGCAACTTGATGAAGAGCAGTTGTTCGCTCACCGCGTGTGGTGTAGGCGTTTGGGTCAGCTCCGAGCTCCAACAAGTATTCAACTACCTGAAACAAAATTTTTCTAATTTTTCTAATTCTCGATTGCCTAAGGGTGTCAACAATTGAAGATCAGATTTCATCGATTTCATACTAATGACGGCCATGCTAAGACAGTCACGTCAAAGTTGTTCCAATTTTGATGCTGATCTCTTTCTCATTAATTTAAAATAAAAGTGTACCTCAACGTTTCCCTGAACCGCGGCGATGTACAATGGTGTCTCATTGTATTTATTGGTAACATCGAATGGATTCTCATTGTCCTTTTTCGTTTTTCTGAGAGTTTCGCAAAGCGCATAAATTTTTGCCAAATCCATGTGCGCGGCAACAATGTGAAGCGGTGTGTCACCGTCGTTATCGCGAGAGAGCTGCGATGACGCCTACGATTTGCAATAATTAGATAAAAGCTAGACCGAGAAAAATGTCGATGGCATACTGTAGCGCATGTGACGGCCCAATGGAAACCACTCGCCAAATCTTTTTCTTTGATGAGCGCATGAAGTCGGGCTTTCGCTGTGTTACCATCTGAGGATCTTGGACTTAGGCGGGTTTGTGATGGAGTATTAGGTCCACTGAAAAATATAAAAATTATTGATACGCTCTTGAATCAAAAAAAGGTCCTACGGAAAAGCTCACCAATAATTATAACAGTAGTACGAATCTACGAACATTGGGTCAGATTTTTTTTCGTTCGAAAGTCATCTTTCTTTTCCCCTTCTCAACCCGATAATTTTTTATGGGGCGTAGGATAAGCCTATAATTTTTTTATGCGGCTTAACCACAATTTTTGTATTTTATGGAGAATTTTTAATTCTTCACTTTTTTTTGTTGAATCCTATTATTTTTCGATTTTCAGTATGATGTAATGGTTACATGCGAGCTGAATTGAATTATTCACAACCATACATCCCACCGATTTCCGGTTCAAAAAGCATCGAGTCCAGTGAAATATAACACGAAAAATATGATTCAAGACTACATTAATAATGAGCAAAAGATTATACGCGAGCCCACATTTTTCCGTGAAGTTTGATCAGTGGAATTAAATCAAATCATCAATCTTTCATAGTAAACCGTGTACATCAAGTCAAGTAGAAAACGCGGCAAACTTGGAAATGAGGAAGTAATCGCGATCGAAGGACAAGTATAAATTTGAGACAACGGTAGGAGGCGAGGAGGGAACAAAATCATAAACACCATCGGATCGGATATTGACCTCGAAACGCCTGTTTGCAGCTTATGTGTTGCTAATTTCAATACTCTATCAACCATCGATTGGAATGGGAAACGGTAATTTCCCCCCATCAGAAGAAGCCAATCAAATTGTTGGGTTACGGTACCAACCTGCTGCTGGTTCCTTGTGGTATCTGCGGACTATCGTATGGAGCATATCGCGCCGACATTGGCGATGAAACTCCCGAATCAGTCGATGGTGGCCGAATTCGGGAGCCTTCTTCTTTCGTGTACTGATTCGAATATTGTAGTATGAAATCTTGAAGGCTCTCCGGCAGCTCGTTGTCGTCGGACAAAAAATCTGAAAGAATCAAACAATAATTTGTGTTGCACATTTTTTTCTTCTTCGTTTTCTTCTTCTATGTGTGTGTGTGTGTGTTTTTTTTGCCTTCATCGCATTCTCCCCATCCCGCCCTATTCAATGAAGATGGCGTCATTGAGCTATGGAAACAAATGAATGAATTTTTGGATTCGTCCAAAAAAATAGCGAAATACGTGAAAACCAGATCAAAAAAGATTGAAATTTACAATTGTCTGGGAACGCTAGAAAACCAGATTTTTGACCTTGTAAGTCTAGTCAGGGTTCAACTAATTCAGTAATCTACGGCAACCCAAAAATTGCAACGCCGGCGATTTAAGGCAACCCACTCTCACCTGTGCTCTGCAATTTTTCAATCAAGTCCTGCCGCGTCGCCTTTGGACTGTCTTGAGACGGTGATGACGAATTATAGCCTTCCGAAGACACTGTGTCCGGCGTTGTTGAGGCTGAATGCGACCTGCAACAAACAATAAGAATTCGGACGAACGTACAAAGAATAGGGCGATGCATTATATGCGCGCACATTGTTGTTTTTATTATTATTTATTTATTTCGGGACGAAGCGAGAAAAAAAATTTTTTCTCGATGACAACTACATATGTGTGTATGTATGTGTGTGTATGTTATTTTTTATTCTTCGGGGCGTCAAGCTGTAAAACCGTTGTCATAAAAATCATTGCAATGGTGGCGTGAAGCCCCGACGCTTTCTCTCGCCAACCACAGCCACCCCTCCCACATCCCTCCCATAACGGCCGCTTCAAAGCATGCCTCGCCCCTCTGCCGATTCTTCTCCTCCGTCTAATTGCCATTTGCAAGACCAAGCGATGATGATGATACCGTACCCGTTCAAAAGATTATAGTTCCACGTGCTTCCGCATTCGTATCCATTTCCATATCCAATGTACATTGAAATATCGGTGATCTCAGTTTGCGGAGCTGTGCCATAGGGAATTTGGCCTAAATAGAAATAAATGAGGTTTAAGAAGAAAAATGAAAGAAAAAAACGAGCGCGAAGAAGAATGATGATGATGAGACCTACCGTAATGATATGGATGGGTTGGCGGTGACGGGCGAACATGCCGAACGGGACCACGAGAAAGCAGGTCGCTGTCGATCTCTTCAGCTCTTTTCTCTTTTATGTCCTTCTTCGAATCCCTCTTCCGACCGCCTTCAATATTCTTCTCATCGTTCCTCTCATTTGAATTTTCGTCGGTAGTTGTTGTCTTTTCGTTTTTCTCGCCTGCCGACTTTGTTTGCTTCTTGTCTCCCTTCTGCAAAAAAAATTGAGAATTTCATTTTCGCAAATCCGGGAAAATGAGATGAGTTCATTGGATGAACGACTAAGATGGATGGAGCGAAAAAGGCAGAAAAATAATGCAGGGAGGACAAGTAAATTGATTTTAAAGTTCCATTCTTCAAAGAACTCGACGGAATTTCCCCTTTCCGAAAGGGTTACTACTATGTCTAGGCAAAATTTGAAATTTGTACCTCTAAAATCAGGCGGAAAATGGTGTCGCTCATGAATGACTGGTCAAACGACGATTCGAACATTTTCAATTAAAAAAATATCATATTGAATGAGCCACAAATTGTTGAATTGTTTGTTTAATGACAAGGTGCATAATTAGGGAAAGAAAAAATGATGAATATTTTCCAATTATTTTGCATTTGTTTACACATATTGCTGAAGATTCAAAATACCAAAATGCCATTCATCCATATAAGAATTTTGTCGGAATTATATTGTAATCATTCCAGAATACCCATTAGTTCCCATGAAGGGCAACAAATTGAGAGCAAAGAAATAAATGATTCGCTATAAACATCAATAATTGAATTTGTTTTAATGGTTGATAAATCAGTATCGAATTTCAAAAAAACATTTTATCATAAATATTTTAAAACAGAATCCGTTCTATCCATCGTTTTCGCACACTTTTCGGACTGCCGATAGTAATGGGAATGTATTTGAAAAAAAGTCTGAAGTACATTCATTCTAACCATTTTTGTGTTGAGGTCAAGACCCTTTTTAGAAAAAAAATGATATAGAGAAATTTTTGGTCATATTTGTCCTACAGTAACATTTTCAATTGAATAAACTCCGAATCCTATCAATTCTGTATTAAGCTTTAACGCGATTTAAAAACAAAACATTTTTGACGTATAATAAAAATTCTAAACTTTGAACGCAAAAAAAGATATCCCCATCTAGTTGAACCATAAAGTTAAAATTATTAATGATGTCATATTCTTTCTGGTGCGTTGCTCATTATGCTCCATCAATAATAAAGGCTTTTAACCGGAAAAATACTCCAGCGTCATCGTTGGATAAACACGGGGATAAGAGCGAAATGCATTGAACAGTGTGGTCACAAAATTTGAGGCGACATAATTTTCTCATTTTCAAATTCAAATTTTTTCGACGCTTATCTAAAGGTTCCTTGTGTTATCTTACTATTGCATGTGTGTTGAGAAGGTCTCCTAAAAGTGCGGGTCCGTTTCGTGAAAGTTTTGACGTTGTGTTAGTTTTTCGTGCCAATGCTGATGATCGAATACTCTGGAGGGTTACAAAATCCGCTGGACTCACGCTGTTCACCGCCTCATACTGCAAATAATGAAAATTATAGCAAACGCTACATATTGAGCCAAAGTGAGATATCTCATGTACAAATTATTGTAGTGTAAAATACAAATCAAATACCTTCAAATTTTTTCGACGATTTGCTTCCTCGATTCGCAGTTTCTCAAGATGCTGCGAGAGTTGCTCAGCGGGATCCATAAGTGGAACCGCTCGAGCAACAAGACAGTCCCCTTTCGGGGATTCAGTCGACATCACTGAAAATTTAATTACAATGTCTTAATGAAAAAAACGGGAGAAGACGAAACTACGGAAATGAACGAGAAAGGACTCCTGAAGGAAAATATGTGAAGAGTTTAGGGGGAAGAAAATGGGGGGGGGGGAGAAGCGAAAAAGAAAATTGACTAGAAACAAAATTCCTTCAAGAAAAAACTGGGAAGATGGGCGCAAAAAAAGGATGACGCCGCCTTGGGGCGACGCATAGAACATGAAAAAATTGCCAAGCACGCTTCTTGCGTGTGAATTAGGGCGAGCAAAAAAGTTCAACAAAACTACAAGGTTCTTTGAGTCACATGACAATTTCCTTCAACTTCAACGAATTTCGCTCGACGACCTCGAATGAGCGAACAAAACGAACATTGTGTCATTGATTAGCTATTACCATATTTAGTCATATGAAATCAGTGAGAACAATTGCACCTGACAAATTGATTTTCGCGAAAATTCCTAATGAATTTTGCAAGTTTCAGCCGAACGAAAATTGTGATTAGCAGGGTAGTAAAAAAACATATGACATATATGGCATATAGCAATAAATAAAGAATCAGCTATAAATAATAAAAAGAATTTCGAAATTGTTGTAACATGATTTTGGATCCCTTCTCTCGTCCTTTTGATTGGTACAAAGCAAGTGCACTTCCTCAAAGAACGTATGTCTCAAATTTTCAATGCATGAAGATGAGCGGAGACTGATGCAACAGTAATGTTCTTCTACCTTCTTTTTTCAAACCAACGTTGTGTAATTCTATCAGTCTCTCAACGGAAATTGAAGATCAGCGAAATAGTTCGAGAATCGGAAAAATTAAATGAGAGGGCATCAGGAATCAGGCGCGGTCAGGGCAAAACTCCAATCATCAGAGAGACGTTCAATGTTATGGATGGGGCGTAAGTGATGGTGGATCGACGATGAAATTGATAAGAGATTGCGAATGAAACAATTTTGATTTTTTTTTCCCTGGCTGCTTGTGATAATATGACATTATTTCAAAGGAATTGGAATGTGTACATAATTTTCTAGTAAAAACTGAGTGTTCGGAGGGCGTAACACATCATAATCGGATTTTGTGACACATTCGGTTTTGATTAATCGCGTTTTTTTTAACAATACAATTCAATTTTTTTTAGTTTGTTATAGTAATTTTTAAACGCTGCGTTGTTGTTGCATTTTTCTTCATTGAAAGCTTAATTTTTAATTGAAATATGAAATTTCGAAAAATTTCGAAAGGTCAAAACTGCCGGCCGGCACGGTGAGTAACCATCACAAGGGCCGAGCCCAAACAAATATTTGTGCTCAAACTTTACTCGACGGAAAGAGTGTTGTTTGTGTTTATAGGTCTGAGAAAACCGTAACGCTAAAAAAATTGTTCGCCCCGCATCCCGTTCGCTAACAACTCCACCCCTACGATGTTCACTCGTCGTTTCATGTTTTCACAAATTCGGTTTTTTTCTTCTTCTTCTTCTGTCGACGGAGAGATAGAGGAGACGCAACGCGTTGACCGCGCCGCAAAACCGATGATGAAAAGCGAGCCGTCGGCAACTTGATTCGCCGTTGGCCACCTCTCGATTCGAAAAAATGTTTCTTTTTCTATTTCTTTGACGCTCGATGTTTGAAGCGCTCCATCACCGAGTTGTGGTGTCGTCTGCGTTAAAAACGCGAAACGGTTTAGAGAGAGCGCGCGGCGCGGACGGCGCAGACACCCGGCAATGATCGGTGTGTTTCTTACTCGACGTTTTTTTTTCGCCTGTGTTTTTAGTTCCGCGTCGCTCGCTGGCCGCCAAGAATCTACGTGAAAAATTAGTGATAAATATGACATGAAAACGCCAAGTGGTTCGATGGTGTTAAAATACTCGGAATCAATTGTTACGGTAATGAAAAATTGCAAAGAAGAACTTCGATGGGTGGAAAAATATGTTGAATCAAAATGACATGTTTTATCGGAACCCGGGTGTCAATCAACATGAACTTTTTGTTCCGAAGGTCTCGTCATCGCAATCGGATAAGAAGTCATGAAGTATAAAAAAAAAGAAGATATTTTTTAGCTAAAAAATGAGATGAAGGCGAGAAGACTTTTTTGAAATATTACAGATGATGGTATAAACTGAATTGCTTTTCGTTCGATTTAATTCATAATTAATTAAATTGGATGATGAAGCACAGATAGAAGCGATATTCATTTAAAATAATTCAAAATATTGAAAATGTTTTAAAATTGATAAACTGAAGGGAACAGTTCAAGATTTTCTGATATTTGGGAATCAATTATCATACCACCAAACCCGATTGCAATGCTGTTTAGGACGGAGACATTTTCCAATAGATATCGCCACGTGGTTTTTTTTTTGCACATGTGGGGGAGGCAAAAAAGCATTAAAAAAGTGCAATCATTTTGAGAGGATTTGCAGTGATCTATCTCATCATAAAAGAAGACTGGAAGTGTTAATCCGATAATTCGGTAGTGAACTCTTGAAACAATTTTCAGGAATCAATCCTTTAATAGCATTAAAATTTTATGCACTTTGAAGAATATATCGAATAGTGAATGAGATCACGCTTTTATATAGGAAAATTGTTAATACTAATTCACCTGCTTCGATAAGTTCTGTTTCAACGAAACCGAGTCATTGCAACAATCCAAACCAAAGATAGTAATCAATTCGTTGAACAGTCGAAAAATTCGTGAAAAACAAGGAACGGAAGCCTTTCGTATTTTTTGATTTATAAATGACTCACAAATTTTGCCGAACAGCTATATCGAAATAAAATGTTTTTTTAGAGAACTAATGGATGGGATAGACGACTTTTTAGTCATTATTCGCTGAAGTAAATAGCGTTGAGAAAATTTAATAGACGGGCTCTATATATTTCACTAAAAGGCAAATAAAGTAGAACATTGATGGGAAGGGTCTAGACGAGAATTCAGCTTTTTATTACCGACTACGTAAGGGTTAAGATGGGAATCAGAAAGGGTAAATGTTGCATTCAAAGACGCTAATTTGGAGAAAGGATTAGTAAGGTGCGAAACCAGTGGGAGTTTTTTCTTCGAATTTCTTTCATTTTTTTTTTCTGTTTCACATGAAATTCCTAATTTGGCGTGTGATTTAAATAATTTCAATAGACAATCTGTTTGGTCTACTTTTTTAGTCAAACCGAAACATTCATGGAAATATGCTACCGTAATAAACGTGTGAGACTTGATTGAAAAAGGGCATTTTCTCATTTGCCGACACGTTGTTAGATGTTTGTGCCCAGCGAAGAACGTCGGCAACGTGAGTTTAAACATTTTCTCTTTTCCCATGACGAGATAGATCCGTTTGAGAGGAGAGACGGCTCCTCCCACTTTTTGAGAAGCTACCGTAATCCAATAACACTTTAAATTTTCAACTAGATTTTTTTTAATCGAATGTCGTATTTGATTCAACATGGTTTTACTCGACACATAATTATAAGTTGGGGGCGGCAATTTGGAATTATTATTTTTCAAGCACAATGGAATTCAGCGTGGCTTCTTTGCAGATATGTCCAAATAAGTAAATAACCAGATTAAGTCGAATGCTGGCGTAAACCAAACCGCTTTCATGTTTGAAATAGCAAGAATCGCAGAAAATGCTCATTAATACTAAATTCATTGAAGCAGTGCGCAAAAAAAGTAGAATAAGAATAATGGCTGGCAAAATGAGCAAGTTGCGTCCAGAGTTTGCTGGGTCCTGAGTGTCTTTTCATGTGATAAATGTTGTCAAAAAACGCTAACAAAGTGCAACGACTCGTAAAACTTCCTTCTGCGTGGCCGAAACAATGCATTTCAAGTCATGTGAAAGAATTGTGGAAACGGGAGTGCCGATGAAAAAAAATGTTGTGGATTTCCTGTCGAGGTTTTTCGGGACCCCTACGTGCTATTCACCAACCACCTTTCAAGACCTTTTTGTTGCGCCAAATATGGAAACACGACAAAAACGAACCAAACATCGGATGCCGAAACTATTTCATCTTATCTGATCATTCGGATTTCAACGACAATGACACTTGGTAATGGCACCAAATAAAACTTTTTATATTCAAAAGAAGGAGAAATCGAAAAAAAAGAATTTGCAGGGCTACAAAAATTATTAATGTTCTTTTTTTTGCAATTGAATGACATTGAAGAACCCGCTGCGTTCCTCAGATGTTTGTATTTGATAAAGACTGGATGCAATTCGTATAAAATTTCAATATGACATCCATTCTTGACCTTCAATTGATCTTTGAACCAAAATTAAATCTAGTTTAGCGTGTAATTTATCGACAATAAATGCGGACTAGATTAAATTTTCACCATAATTTCATTTATTTTCAACATGTTGCCTTTATCCCCTCGAAATTAGATTTTCATGATAAAAGAATGGGCCACAAGTAGATCTGTTTGAATAATCATAACATCAAACATATCTTCTACAGTATACCTACAGTAAGTCCAAGGTCTTATTACAATCAAATGAAGCGCGTAAGAAATGCTTAAAAATGGAAGCGCGGAATACGACGGAAAACAATTGGAGGACTTCATTTGTAAATATGGGTGCGGGTGGTCTTTGTAAAAAACAAATTCTAGATAAAAACCTGTGTGTAAATGTAGATGCAAATTTTAAACTACACTGTAGTTATCCAAAATTTTTTGTTGCGAAACCACAAAAATATTTAATGATTTTGATTATAAATATATAAAATATTAGATGTTTGAGGAATTTTCGTTGAAAGGAAAACGTTTAGATAGTAGTTGCGGAGAAAATGAGCGAAATTATTAATGAGCTAGCTTTGGACCACTTTTCTTAAACCCGCTCTATTTTAATCTTTCGAACCAACGAAGAAGAAAAATCTTGAAAATGAGGTCAACGAGGAAATGCAATCCACGGCTTCTTTAGTGACGATACCAGAATCCATACGGAAGGAAATTCAAATGAATGCTCAGGAATAGGAAAAAAAGAAACGGATGTGGGTAATTTAT